GCAGTTTCTTGGGAATTCTGCAATTCCTGATGGGAATTCTCCCCTTCTCTCCACAGGTGTCATCCCCCACATCCACAAGTCCCTGATTGGAAAGACGGCGTAAGGGGAGCGCGGTGCCGGATCCCCCGTCATCGTACCGACCTGGGCACAGCAACACCTTGGGGATGCCAGGAAACTTTTTTTAAGGAATAGTTGAAAGGAAGAACATAGAGGATTGACTGTAGAGGAAACATTGGGATGGGTTTAGATTCCGAGTGGGACACACCGTGGGCCCGTGGGGCGGCAGCCGGGGGGGTTTGAGGGGCTGGGCTGCCCTGCGTTTTATACAAAAATGGAACCCATAAACCATTTTTTACAAAAAAACGAGCTCTCTGATGTGGCGGAGGGAGGGGGGCTGGGAGGCAGGAGGGTCCGGGAAGGAGGAATCGGGTCACTCCCGGCACCGGCCCGTGCTGCATGCAGATTAGCCCTGCCCCATATGCAAATACACAGCATTGTGAAGCCACGCCCCTCATAAATATTCGGTGTGGAGGCGGGGCATGTCCCAAGGCTCCGCCCCAGAGCGCACATGGCCGAGGGTGCCTGTGTGTCCGTCTGTCCTGGGCATGGGGGGCTGTGTGTCTGTCCGTCTCAGCTATGGGGGTATCCGTTTGTCCTGGGCACAGGAGTCTTTGTATGTCTGTCTGCCCCAGGCCTGGAGGTGGCATGGGCCTGTCTGTCCTGAGCGTCTGTCTGTCCTGGGCCCAGGGATTCTGCACGTCTGTCTGTCCCGAGTGTCTGTCTGTCCTGGGCACAGGGCTCCTGGGTGTCTGTCTGTCCAGGGTGTCTTATCAGCTCTGGCTGTGTGGGTGTCTGGTGTCCACCTGTCCTGGGCATCGGGACACTGGGTGTCTGTCTGTCCCAGCGGCTGGGTGCCAGGCTCTGTCCTGGGTATCCGTCTGTCCTGGGCATATGGGTGACCACCCAGCCCCCCCTGGCTCCCAGGGAGTCCCATGTGCAGCCGTCGTACGCGGGGGAGCCCCGGGCGGGGCTCAGAGGAGGAGGCGGCGGGAGCCGGGCCCGGGGCGGCTCCAGCACTGGCAACAGCGGGTGGGGGTTGCATCAGGCGTCGAGTAGCCCCAACGGCCCAGGGCGCCATCCGAGGCCGTGCCCGCGCTCAGCGGCGCCCTGGCCCGCCGGGCCGCATTGCCGGGGCATCCCCATGGGCCGGTGCCGGGCAGGGGCACGAGGGGTAGGGACAAGGCCGGGCCAGTGCCCGCGGGGCAGAGGCCGCACAATGGCGGCGTCGCTCGGCGCAAGATGGCGGCGGGGGGCGGGGCCTCCCCGACCACACCGCGAGTACGCGTCTCGCGCCGCCGCACGGCGCATGCGCACACCGTCGCGCGCCTCTCGCCGCCGGGCCGCGCGGGCCGCACCATGCGGCCCTCACGGGAGGGGACCGCGGGGGACGCCGGTGCACGCCCACGGCGCCGCGCCGCGCGAGGCAGCGGAGACGTCTCGCACGCCCGTTTAACGCCGGTCAGCGCTCGGCCAGCGGCGGGGAGCGCAGGGCTGTCCCGGCGGCGGAGCCCGCGTTCAGCGTTACATAACGCTGTCCCCCTGCCCACCCGCAGTGGTCCCGCCACCCCGCCCCCGCGGCCCTTACAGCTCTCATCATTGGCTGGACCAGGCGGCGGGGCGGGGCGAGGAGGCTACAAATAAGGGCGATGCGGCGGGCGCCGCGCTCAGTCCGCCGCGGCCGCGCTCGGGTCTCGTTGTTTTCGCGCTTCCTCCGCCGCCAGTCGCCGCCTTCCGCCGCCGCCATGAACGGACAGCTGAACGGTTTCCACGAGGTGTTCATCGAGGAGGGCACCTTCCTCTTCACCTCCGAGTCCGTGGGCGAGGGGCACCCAGGTGCGGGCCGGGCGGGGCGGGGCCGGGCGGCGAGCGCGCAGGCGCGGCCGGGCGTGGGGGGGAGGAGGAGGATGAGGACGAAAATGAAGAAGGAAGGATGGGGATGAAGAGGGCGAGGATGAGGATGGAGGGGCCGGGGGTGTGTGTGTATGTGGGGGGGGCGGTGACGCGCGCGGGCGCGCGCGCAGTGTGAGGCGGGCGCGCGCTCGCCGCATTGCGGGCCCGGCGCGCACGTGCTGCCCGCGTGGGGCGGGACACGGGGGGGACGGTGGGGCGGGGATGGGGCCGGTGCCGCCGTGACTCAGCCGTGACTAAGCAGCTCCCGGTGCCCCCGCACCCCACGCCCCCCTCCCCCCGGCGGGGGGGCCGGGGCCGGGGTAGGGCCGGGGGCCCCCCCCCCCACCCCCCCACACACCCCCGGCCCCTCCATCCTCATCCTCGCCCTCTTCATCCCCATCCTTCCTTCTTCATTTTCGTCCTCATCCTCCTCCTCCCCCCCACGCCCGCCCGCGCCGGCCCCCTCGCCGCCCGGCCCCCCCCCGTCCCCCCCGTGTCCCGCCCCACGCGGGCAGCACGTGCGCGCCGGGCCCGCAAT